GCCCACCGCCCGCGGCCCCGCCCCTTTGCTCGAAGCCCCGCCCCTCTCCCCCGCGGCCCCGCCCCGCCGCTCGCGGCGCGGCGCTGTGAGGAGAGCGGCCGCCTGCCGCCCGTGCTCGGCGCCCTCCTCCTCACCCTCCTCCTCCTCCCCGTCACCTCCCTGGTCCGCAGCGCCTTCCTCTCCCTCCTCAGCACCCCCTCCTGCACAGCCCCCTCCTCATGCCCCGATCCTCAGTGCCTCCCTCGTCGTCCTCACCCTGAGCACCTTCCTCCTCCACGGCACCCTCCTCATCCTCYGTGCCTTCCTCACGCTCCTCAGCACCCCACTCATCCACAGTGCCTACAGCACCCCSCTCATCCTGCCCACCCTCCCGGCCTTCCTCACCCACCCATCACCCTGCTCCTCCTCATCCCTGTCCCCGTTGGTGCCCTCCTCATCATCCTCACCATCATCTCAGGGCTCTCCTCACCCTCCTCACCTTCCTCACCCCCAGCCCCTTCCTCATCCTCAGTGCTCTCCATCACCCTCCTCATCCCACCGCGCCACAGGAAGCTTGGGGATGTCTGGGATGCTCAGGGATTTCCTGGCACCAGGGATGTATGGGATGTTTGGGATGCTCGGGAATGCCCGGGATGCTCAGGGATGTATCGGCACCAGGGATGTCCAGGATGCTCAGGGATGGCGGGGATGCTCAGGGATGTCCTGGCACCAGGGATGTCAGGGATGCTCAGGGATATCCGGGATGCTCGGGGATGTCCAGGATGCTTGGGAATGTCCGGGATGCTCAGAGATTTCCTGGCACCAGGCATGTCCCGGGCACTGCACAGCATCCAGAGCAGCCCGCAAGCCCCGCAGCGCTGCAAACAGCAGGATAGAGCGCTGTATTTTGGGGTGAAACACGGGAAACACCATCAGCGCGCCCRCCAGAACAGCCTCCCTGCTCTCCAGCCTTTCGCTTCACCAGTGACTTGAAGGAAGCGGATAAGAGAAACCAACTAAAAGACGAGGGAAACCCATCATCAGCAAGTCAAAGATAATAGGAGGGATTTAAAACACATGCTATTAAGTGCACAGGCTCTACAAACAGCGCTGTCAGAAGCAAGGCGCGAGGGCGGGCGGCGTTTCGGGAGGCGTTTGCCGGCTGCACCCGCTACTCCAAGTGTCATTAAAAACGGCCTCCGGCCGTTTTTAATGACACTTGGAGTAGCGGGTGCGTTTCCAAAGAGCGGAATAAAAACAGGCTCCAATATCCCAAGAGGAAACACCGGGATGAGGGAGACAACTCYGGCCTCGCAACAGATGCTGCTCGCAGACACAGCAGCAGAAGAGCTGACAATAATGCYGTCTATATAAGGAATCTATATCTATAATGCTATCTATAAGGAGCTAAGGGAGGGGATTATACACCTGCATTAACTTGGGCTTATGGGAAATTGATGTCTGATACTCCCTTTGATKAGAGCAGATGTGTGAAAGAAAGCAGTAATGCTAAATTTGGCATTTACACCTCTGTATTTTTGTACATCTCTCCATATAACACGTGTGCGAGAGAGCAAAATCCAGACAAACTTCAAATTTTTAAAGGCAGAGTCATCACCAAGTGGATTTTTTTTTTTTCCATTTAATCACACGGAAAATCACATTTGGTTCTATATCTTATATGACTTTTTTATTTTTATTATTAAGTTCAAATACTATATAAAACAATATAAAATCATCGCGGGTGGAAGTCTGTGGGGAAAACAAAACTGGGGAGTGGTAACAGATGAGAGCAAATGCTACGCAAAGGTGTCTTGTGTTTCATTATGCTATGCTATGCTATGCTATGCTATGCTATGCTATGCTATGCTATGCTATGCTATGCTATGCTATGCTATGCTATAATATAATATAATATAATATAATATAATATAATATAATATAATATAATATAATATAATATAATATAATATAATATAATATAATATAATATAATATACTGTGAGTGTGGGAGGAAAGCAGGTTGCCGTATTTATGCTTTGGGAAACACAGGCTGGAAAATTTGCGTGAGAAGTAGATGAAAACCATGCTGTGATCAGAAAGTCTGAGAGCCCTCCCGTGGCTGGGAAGAGGCCAAGGAAGTGTTTTTTTTAATATATATATATATATATATATATATATAAAATATATATATAAAAAATATATATATAAATATATATATATTTTATATATATATATATAAATATATATATAAATATATATATATTATACATATATATTTATATATATATTATATATATATTATTATATATTATTATATATTATTTACATACATATTATTATAATATATTATATATTATTTATTTATATATATATTTTTATATATATATAAAACATATGATATATGTTATGATATATGATATATATATAATATATATATATCATATATATATATTATATATATATATATGATATGGCTCAAAGAATAAGGAATTTGGGACAACCACAGGGCTGAGTTAAATGCACAGATCAGCGTCAGGTCACGCTGATCCCTCTGGCTCTGCTGAAGCCTATGAATGATAATCATAGAACATTATATGATTTATATTATGATATTAGTAATATTGTCTCTCTATATTTTATTCTTTCGGTCYGTGAGGAATTAAACCTGTGGCCAGCTTCACGTGCTCCCCGTGCTCTTCYGCGGCGTCCCCCTGCTCCTGCCCTGAGCTCTCGGTCTCCATGAACACAACACCGAGAGAGAGGGGCCCGTGGCTCCACGGCAGAAGGCCAGCAGTCCACACAGACAAAACATAAACTATCTGTGACAAAAACTAAATTTTTGTCACGTTTAATCAAAATCCTACCGAATTTTCTGTCCGTTATCAGAGCATTGGGATCTCCCCGAGTGGTGGGACCTCCTGTGGAGCATCAGGATCTCCTCGGGAGCATTGGGATCTCCTCCGGAGCATCGGGATCTCCTCCGAGTGGTGGGACCTCCTCTGGAGCATCAAGATCTCCTCGGGAGCATCGGGATCTCCTCCGGAACGGCGGCTTCCCRGAGCCTGCCCAGGAAAGCAGCCCCATGGGGCCCACGGAGATGGGCTGCTCCCGTGCTCAGGTACCTCCTTCCAGCTTCCCGGCTCGTCTCCATCCTCTCTGCTCGTTGGAAGGACGCAAGGGTTTTTTATACCAATACTCACCTGTACAGGCGCCGTGACTCCACAAGAGCAGCTATTTCCTCCGAACCAGCGCTGTTCAGCGCAGAGCTGCTGCTGCCTCTGGAGAGCAGCACACTGACAACCYGCCTGTCCTGTCCTACGGGACGAGGACAGGGAGCAGTGGAGTGAAAAAAAGAACGCAATATTACAGATCCTAAAAAATGTCCTTCCTCATGTGAGTGACATCGGGGAAAAGAACACTCTGCTCTCAAAAATCCCTTGGGAAGACTCATTTTCTCCAAGCCAGGAACTCCGCAGCGGGTGAAGGTGCCCGGTCATCTTTTACTGTGAGACAGGGTGGAAACTCCCCAGAGCTTTATCTTAACCTCTGCTTTCTCCTCGTGCCCAGCGTGTTCCCGTGTTTCAGGCTTGCTTGTCAGGGACAAGCCCAGCCCGTTGGGACCTTCTCCCCTAGATCCCGAGCTCCAGTGGTGGGATCTGCCCGACACAAACTGTGACAATGGGCACAAAGGGGGGACAATGGGCACAAAGGGGGGACAAGGGGCACAAAGCAGGGACAATGGGCACGAGGGCAGCGGAGCGGCGCAGCGCCCTGCGGGACGCCCAGCCCATCTGGGCACCTGCAATTCAGATCCAGATCGAGGTTTTAAATGTTCTTGGGGTGCGGAACACAAAACTCCACCGTGAATCACCCAGTTAGTTCATAAACAAATCCACAGGTGCACAAAAATAAAACCACAAAAGACCTGCAAGTTGGCTGGATTGCTGCAGCTCAACAGTAGGTATCTCCATCCATATTGAAGTGACATGGACTGAACTACATGAATGACTTGGAAATCCTGTGACACTGGTGATGTCTGAGGTTAATAACGAGCCCCTCTGGCCTTCAATTTCTGCGATTCCCCGTGGCCAGGAGATATCCATGTCCGTATGAATCTGCTCATACGGACAAACCTTAAATCGTAATTGTAAATCCAAAGAAAACCTCCGTGTGGCAAAAGAGAACGCATGGAAAGAGAGAAGCATCCTCACCAGGGTGACGGCGAGCAGAGTGCCGAGGTCCCAGCGGCGCTCCGAGCGCCGCGGGCTCCGTGGGGCACCCGGCCCCACAGCCGCGACACGGGACACAATTCCCATCAACCTCAGCCAACACTTCACTTCTGCCTCAGCTTTAAGGCCCCCGCTACRCAGCTGTGGACCTGGACTGCTTTGATCTAATTCCTTGCTGCGTTTGATGAACAGCTACGAGCACCGAGGACACGTTACGCCTCGGGTGGARAAGTGTCCTTGATTCGCAGGAAAATGATAAA